AGGCATCAAAGAACAAAAAATCATATCCTTGTGTGCTCACCTCCATGATACGATCGCTGAAGACAAATGGGTGCATAAGCAAATGTGGTGAAAAAAGCTGATGGTGCCCGGCTATCAAAAGATATAGCGTCTGGCATCTTAAAGGCTTGAAGGTAAACAAGTGGCCATCTAACTCAGAAGCAACAAAGCCCACCTGGAAGAAGCACACCAGTCTGTGTGATCACGAGGTGTCGAAGGGATCAGGTATCAGGCATCATCAGAACAAAAAATCTTATCATAAAGAATGAGTGGGGGAGTGGGGAGTGGAGACCCAAGGCCCACTTGTAGGCCACGGACATCCGCTTACAGAAGGGTATCAGGGAGGAGACGAGTCAGTCAGGGTGTGATGTAGCAACGATGAAAAATACAACTTTCCTCTAGTTCCTAAATGCTCCCCCCCACCCCCACCCCACCCGCCCCCCGCATCATGATCCGAATTCTATCTTGCAAGTCTGGCTAGACCAGAGGATATACACTGGTACAGATAGGAACTGGAAACACAGGGAATCCAGGGCGAATGATCCCTTCAGGACCAGTGGTGTGAGTGGCGATACTGGGAGTGTAGAGGGAGGGTGGGGTAGAAAGGCAGAACCGATTACAAGGATCTACATGTGACCTCCTCCCTGAGGGAGGGATAACAGAAAAGTGGGTGAAGGGAAACATCAGACAGGACAAGAAATGACAAAATAATAATTTATAAATTATCAAGGGTTCATGAGGAAGGGGGGAGTGGAGAGGGAGGGGAAAAATGAGGAGCTGGTGCCAGGTTCTTAAGTGGAGAGCAAATGTTTTGAGAATGAGGGCAACGAATGTACAAATGTGCTTTACATAATTGATGTATGTATGGATTGTGATAAGAGTTGTATAAGCCCCTAATAAAATGATTTTAACACAAAAAGAAGATACGTTTCCATTTCTTAAAAGAATATTACCAATAAATACAAGAAAGGGGGAAACAAAACACCCCCCCAAAAAATGGAATTGGCATGTCTATATTATGTTTTCTTCTCCTAAAACAGCTAAGAAGTGGACCCTAGTTTCCAGGAAAGCTAACAAGAATTATGTTCTCTCAAAGTGGTCTCTTCCTGTCTCTAAATCTCCCCTTTGTGGCCCTTCATTAATTCTCGCTAAGCCTGAGGCATGGACCTGAAGCAGAGTCCAGTCATCGCCTTTCTCTAGGTGGACAAATCAGCAGCAGCCTAAAGCCAGGGTCCCTGGTTGAATGGTACATACGGTTCTTGATGCACATAAGCCAGGTAATACAGACACAAATGTTTCTCCACCTCCCCCCATGCTAAAAGAACACTAATTCCCCATAAGAACCGTATAAAAACTTATTTTGACTAGTCTTACTCTAGAACATGTCTAAGAGGGAAAAATGCATTTTTATTCTCTGATCCAAGTGATAGACATAGTTGTCCCTTTTAAAATTCTTTCAGCACTATTATAAAAATGGAGCTAATATGTGTTACAAGATAGTTAAAGAGAGAAGGTGAGCTACTGTTCAAATCTCTTCTTTTATGGACTTTGACAGCTTATCTGACGCGCTATGATTTCGTGGTCAGTAATAAAGGCTTTATGGTCAGATTTCCCGGGTTCAAACCCCAGTTTCCACACTGCTGTGAGGCTGTTACTTCAGTTACACAGCAAGTTACTTCAGTTCAATAATCCAGAATTTCACCTGTGAAAAGGAAGTCTTACCATTCACAAAACATCTGAGATTGGGAGGGAGGGGGGAAAAGAAGCTGATACCAAGGGCTCAATTAGAAAGTAAATGTCTAGAAAACAATGATGGCAACATGTGTACAAATATGCTTGATACAATTGGTGTATGGATTGTTACAGGAGCTGTAAGAGCCCCCAATAAAATGACCTTTTAATTAATATATATATGATCAAAATTATTTTTGGTTTTTGTGTGTGTTTTTTTTTGAAAATTATTTTTGAACGAAGAAGATAAGCTCAATGGCAGATCCTACCATGAGAGTGTACAGCCATCCGGTCTACAGTGTTTGTCATCTTTATTCGAGTTTGCTCCTGATTTGGGGGTTTGGATTTGCTAAGGACAGCCATCCGGAGAGTAGCAGGCATTCTTCGGCTCTGGAAGAAACTTCATTTTCATGTGGATACATGTAGCCAGGTGGTCAAGTACTCACCTTGCCATGTGCCCACTCCATGGCAGCGAGCTAGAGTTCTTCCTTTTGTTTTTGACACCTAATAGAAGTACTTTTATTCTGCTAGGCTGATCTATAGAATTGAGTGCAGCTTAATCTTATCCATTCCCAGCCTCTAATTCCCACACAAGCACCTCACCCCCAATACACCTCCCTGCTTTGTGTGTACACAAACACATACCCTTCTGCATTCTGGGGGGAAATGGTATTTGACCCCGGTAAGCACATGTCACCTTAACAAAATGCCAGCTGCTGCTGAGTAGACTCCAAATAATAGCAACCTGTGTGCAACAAAGGGAAGCATTGCCCAGTCTTGTGTCACCCCCACACTCACCTGCATGTTCAAGTCTGTTGCGGCACCTATTACACCATGCCGTCCCACCCAGAGTCTCCCCCACTCTCAGCGACCTTCTCCTTCACCGAGCGTGATGCCCTCCTCTAAAGACTGATCCCCAAAATAAGGGGGTGGACAGTGTTGCTGTGATCCATAAGGTTTTCATTAGCTCCTTTTGGGACACAGGTCCTTTCTTACTGGTCTTAGCCTGGACACTCCTCTGAAAACTGAATGAGCCTCCTGGGATTTAAAGCCCCAAGGACACAGTAGGACAACCTGACAGAGGGGTGGTAGAGTTAATAAAAATAAACCCTTATGATTTAGACAAATGAAAACTCTCCATCCAAACTTCCTCCCCACATTTCACCTCAAAAAGATCCATTGGCTCCCCCGTTTTCCATTGGGTGGGGGAGATTAACTTTGGAATTAGCTGATTCCAGGATGTAATTCTGGGGAGCTTGGAGTTAATCAGTTGCTTACTACCCCAACAATTTGATTGGATCTGTTAGGGGAAGGTTCAGATTCTCAAGACTGAGAATGTGTGAGCTCGGTGTAAGTGAATACAACCAGACAGTCTCCTCCTGTCCCTGAGAGCCGACGTCCGACAGTCTGGGCAGTACTCACAAGGCGGACACCAGGGGGTAGCAACATCCCACTCTTGCGGCTACCAGACACCAATTATAAAAGTAGCTGTAGAGTCCGGGAGCCGACCACCACCCCCCCAACCCCCAACCCCCCACCTCTTGTTGGAAAGGAATTTCTGCTCCGGCTCTAACTCGTTGGAAAGACAGACTTGACTAGGCTTGGCGGTCCTAGTTCTTGCTTTGTTTTGCTTTGGGTTTGGGGATTTTTGTTCTTGTTCTTGTTTTGAAGTAGAGAGCAGAGGGTTTTTCTCGCCTTATGAAGGATGAACATTTTCTCTTTCTTTTTCTAAACCCCCTGGACTGGGGAAAGGGCAGGGCTGAGCGTCAGGGAGGCGAGGGAGAAAATCCAGTCACCTTGGCAAGGTCCTGGGCCTCCCCTGCTGCTGCCGCTGCCTGGAGACCTCGCCCCGCCTCCCATGAACTGCACCCACCACTCTCCTCTCCCACCCCACCACCACCCCCGCGCCCCTGCCCCCAGCTTCAGTGTGCGCGCCTGCACCCTCCTCTCCCGGGACTTCTTGGCTCTCAGATCGCCCCCCCCCCCCTCAGAGGGTGAGACCCTGGGAAGAGCCCACCCTCCAAGACAGGGGCTCCGGAGAGAGGGGCGTGCCATCTCGCCCCTACGCTCTGCGCCCTTCCCCAGCCCGCTGCAGAGCCCTGGGTTTGGCGGGCATTTCCAGCCCGGCTTAGGGGAGGCGATCCCGGGCCTGGGAACGAGGCTAGACCGTCTCGACTGGACTATTCTCCTTTGTCTGCGCTGGGCCAGCGGCCCTGGGAGAGTTTGCACCGCGGATTCCACGCGGAGGACGGAACTGGCATCCAGTATGGAATCCTGGAATCTGGTTGGGGGCCTAGTACCTCCCCTCTGCTGGCTGAATGGGGAGAGAGCCAGGGCCCGCGGAGGGCCGGAGGCAGCGAAGAGAGAACTCAGGGAAAAAGTCCGCTGGGGCGTCCTTCCCCACAGTGGGGTCCTGATCCGAAGACCCTGCCCACCCCAACCACATACCCACCTCCCACCCCAACCCTCCCAGCTCCCTAATTCCGTCCCGCCCACGCCCTCGTCCGGCGGCACACAGGAATCCATTGTAGAACCAGAGGCGAAGGGAAGGGAGTGGGGGGCGACCCCCTGGGGGTGCCCCTGGGGGGGGGGCTGGGGGAATCCCCTGATCTCTTAGCCCTCGGCGCCACCCTACGTGGGACCTGTCGTGAGCCCTTGCTTCTACTGAAGCCTCGCAACCTCAGAGTGAAGTGTGTCCAAGGGAGTCCCGCGCGAGCCACCTAACTCCGCAGGGATCCCCGCGGGGTTCACGAGCTCCCCCAGCCTCTCGGGCGTGTAGAGCGCACAGGCTACGATGCATCCCACCTCGGGCTAGACAGTGGCGGGGAAAGGGGAGGCATACTCGGCCCGGCGGCCTCCTGCGGTCAGGGTCGGGGCTCCAGGGGAGGAAGGGGCAGAGGAGGAAGGGCGTTTGGGGGAGTGAGCGTGCGGGGCGTGGGCGAGGGGCGTCCGAGGAGGCCGGGTGCCGGGCTGCGCCTGAGACCCGAAGCGGG